AGTTCTCACCAACTGAGATAGGGATTGGGAGATGAAGCTCTGGGCAAGGCCACAAACTCCCACTCTTACTACCCAAAGGTTCAGCATATTTATCATCTGCATTTTTAGTTGGTTTCCAGAACCCAGAAGTGCTTTTGTCAGTCTTGTCCAATTTCATACCTGCTTTACTGAAAAAGAGAACCACCTGTTCTCTTTGCATCATCATTAATTGGAGTGATCTTGGCTATCCATTTATAATTTCTCAATTTCCCATAACATAATCTCTTATAAAAGTAAAGTATGACTGTAATTCCACTTCAAGTACCAAATATATAAATGCTCTCCAAGTCTGACATAAAATCATCATAGCTTGAATATTTTCCATTAACAGAATGGCTCTTCCACACAGTGCCAGCAAACTAGCATTAAAGTACCCAAATAGCCAGATGTTGAGTACTTTTGAGGTTCCTAGGGGATAAACTGATTGCTTGTACTTCAGCCATGGGTCTCGACCACAAAACTCTACTATGATCTACAGATAATAGATTCTCTGGTGTTATTAACAATGCTTGACATAGGCAAAAAGCAGATTCTTGTAGATTCTACTAGTATTGTTACGTATTATAATTATTCTCAACCCAGATTTTATAATACATTCTATTTTTTCTCTAGTTATTCCAATACTGTCACAAAATCCTCAAGTCTATCTTTACTTTTAATGCCGTTACTTCATATTCATAGAATGTTTTATAAATGTTTAACGAAGTTCTTTCACCCAGTATTTCAGTTGCTCCTCATAAAGCCTCATGTAGTGGGTAAAGCAAATGTTATCCTCATGTTATACCTGCTGGAACTGAAATACAGAGGAATTAAGTGTTCCACATAGCTAGTAAATCAGCTTTCACATCCAGTTATTGTGCAAACCTGCCTCAATTTCTTCCCATGCTTTGGTAACTTCCTTAAAGGTACGGAAATGAAGTTACCCACGAACGTTAGCTTTCTCACCATTTTCAGATGAGGAAAACTGGTTTAACATTTGCTTCCTTACAATTTTTAGTTATAAAAATGTGAATGCAGGCCCTGAGCAAAAAGAAACAAAGCCAAATTCTGTAAAGACCACAAAAGCAACCTTCAACATTATCAATGCTAACCTCTACACACACACACACCCTCTCTCTCATTCCCTCTCACTTTTCACACCATTCTGGGAAATCCTACAAGGTAAACACTCTTTCCCCACCACACACACTGATCTTGAGTGCACAAACCCAGTGGGTCATTTCAGGAGAGTATATTGAAATCTAATACATGCATTGGGATAAAAAACTTAAAACCAAACACTTCTTTGACCCCTCCAGCCTTCACAGTTCCTCAAAAGAGGGTCTATACTCATGCTCTTCGATTAATTTCCTCCAGCTATCCTTTGAATCTGTTTCACTCAGGCTTTTGTCTACTAGGTCACTAAAACACTCGTCAAGGTCACTAACAATCTCCTCATTGCTGAACCCAGTGACCACTGTCAGCTCACAGCTTACCTAACCCGGCTGCAGCGTTTGGTAAGACTGGTTACTCCTGCTTCCCTGAAACACTATCTCCCCTTGGTGACTAGGATAGTCCAATTTCCACCTTACTGACCATTCCCCAGTCTTCCTTATTAAATCCATCTCAACTCCTGACCTCTAAATGTTGCAGTGTTGCTGGCTCAGGGCCTAGATTTCTCTCCCTCCTACCCCCACCCACCCACCCACCCACCAACCCCTTTTTATTACTGGAACAAGTGTGGAGATCTGGCTTCTAGGCCTGGTTTTGCTGCTACGTAGGTGTGTGACCTTAAGCAAGTCACTTAATTTCCCTGTGCCTCATTTTATTAATTTTCACAGTGAAGAAAGCAAGCGAAAAGTTCTCCAAGGTAAATTCCAGCCCTAAGACTCAAAATGCCACATTTTAAAAAGTGTTAATTTCCAAATGAATGATTTCATATTTCTACAAATTGTAATGTTTCTATTACCCTTGACTTACTTTATGAGTTTTTATTTTTATCAAAGTATGTACAGTATGTAGTTTAGAGAGTCAAGTAACAAGGCTTATTATGAAAAACAGCAGCCCACTCAGCCCATTTGTCTCTCCTCAGAGGCACTTAAAAAAGAAACCCTTTAGTCCTATCTAAACGGTTATTCCTGACATCTTACCACACTCCCTCCACATCTTTCTACACACCTTTGCAGCCCACTCAGCCCATTTGTCTTTGTGTCAGACCATCTGAAAGTGGGAGGAAGATGCATGACACACTTCAGTCCTAAATACACTGACCCTTGAACATTGTGGGTGCTAGGGATCTGACCCCCGCAGTGAAAAATCTGAGTATTAACTTCTGACTTCCAAACACTTAACTACAAATAGCCTACCACTGACCAGAAGCCTTATTTACCTATGACTATCAACTAATGCATATTTTGTATGTTACACATATTATATACTGTATCCTTACAATAAAATCTGTTGGAGAAAAGAAAATGTTTTTGAGATTGTTGAAATCTCAAAACAATAGAAAAGAAAATGTTTTTTCAAATTGTTGAACTCTCAAAACAATTTTCCAATATATTTATTGAAAAAAATCCACACATAAATGGACCCACACAGTTCAAACCCACGTTGTTCAAAGATCAACTGTACTTCAGTGTGTATCTTCCAAAAATATCATTGCCTACATAACTACAACATCACTGCCACATCTGAGGAAACTGACACGAATTCAGTAAGATCAATGGGCATCTTTTGCATGGATAATGTTACAGAGCTAGTGTCAGTTTCCTCTCCTCTTTGCTATCTACTCCCACTGCCTTGATGGTCTCAAGTCTTCTCAGGGCTTTAAATAACAACTAAATGCTTATGGCTTCAACTTTGCCCCTTTGGTCCTGCCTTCTCACTGAACTCCAGATTCTGTCTACTTAACCTTTCCACTTACATTTCTAAAGAGGAGTATCAAACTTAATGTATCCAGATCTGAGCTCCTGGTGCAGTCCCAAATCCATTCCTCCCAGTCTCACAAATGGCAACTCCACTCTTCAGCTGTTCAGGCTGAAAACCGAGCCAGCTTTGACACGTCTCTCTCATATCATATCCAATTTCACAGCAACATATAACTAGAATTCCATCGCTTCTCATCTCTTCCCTTGCTTAGGGGCTCAGGCTCCTAAGTAGTAGTAGCCTCAAACTGGGTCTCTCTCCTTCTGTCCTTGCAAATGTTCCCACCCTCACCCCAGAGTATTCTAATACAGCAGCTTCAGCAGCAGGATCACATCACTTCTCTTCTTGAAACCCAACAATTCCTTTTCATCTCACCCAAAGCCAATAACCAATTACCACTGCTCACATGATGCTCCTACATTACCTTTCATCTCCTTCTCTGCCCTTCACTCATTCCACTCCAAACAATTACCCAGCCTCCTAAGGTTCAAACAAGCCAGGCACACTCCTGCCTCAAGATCTCTGGCATTTGTTATTCTCTCTGCATAGAATGCTCTTTCCCTAGAGAGCTACATGGCTCTTTCTCTCAACTTCAAGTCTTTGCCCAAATTATCACCTTTTCAGTGAGGCCTTCCTTGAAGGGCCTACATCTTCTTCAAAGTACTTACTGCCCTACAACAGATTGTGTATTTTGATTATTTATACTTTTTTGTCTCCCCACTAGAATGTTAATTCCATGAAGGCACAGAGTTTTATTTTGCTTCCTACTGTATCTCCAGTGCCTAGAAGACTACCTGGCACATGGTAGGTACTAAGTAAATATCTGATGAATCAATGAATCATATTCTTAAAACAATACAGATTTGTATTGATCCCTAGAAGGTTCATGGCCAACAGAATGCTGAGTAGCAGATGACTAAGAATGCTGATAGTAAATGACAGTACAGACCACTTCCCCATCCATTGGGAATATAATATAAGCCACAAATAATTTAAAATTTTCTAGCCAATTTATTTAAAACAAGTGTAATTTAATTTTAAGGTTTTATTTAACCTATTATGTCCAAAACATTACCATTTCAACATCTGATTCACACAACACACACAAATATATTTTACCATTTTTTCATACTAAATTGAAATGTGTATTTTACGTATAGCACATCTCAGGACTAGCTTTGAATTTTTGAAAATGACAATTTCAAATGTCATAGCTACATGTGGCCAGTGGTTACCACATTGGACTGCACAGATATAGAGACCAAAACTAAATAATCCCATTGTAATGGGGAACATCTTGTATATTTACTGTTTTTAACTTAGCATTCCAAAACAAGGCTCTGGTACAACCTCATGGTTTCCTCATTTTTTCAAAACAGTTTCATTACATATACAATTCAAAGAATAATAGCTTTCATTCTGAGAAACAATTTGTATCAAGATAAATGGCTCAACTCTTTAAATTTCATTCAGATGTTTGATTAGAAAGAATGAATGCCCTTCTTTCTTAGTCTACTCAAATTAAGAAACCTAAATAAATCCAGAAAGTCTATGTTCTTATCTATATTAGCAGGGAAAAAAATCATTATTTTCAAATAGAACTATTAAATTCTATTTCCACAAAACAAACCAGCATTTATTTCAAGTTAACCAAAATACACTTCATTTTAAAAGACCATTTTTGTGTAGATATAGATGCATTTAAAATTTCATAATGGCTGCTCTACCAGTAATATTGCGTTTCATAATATAAAGTAAAATAAAGCACCAAGGAGAATGCTTTAACATTTTTAATACATGCAATTTAGGTCCTCACTATGTCTCTTAAAAAGTAAAGTATTATTTATAGAAAATGTTTCCATTGACTTTTTTTTTATCAACAGGGATATCTTTCAGAAATCTTTTATAAATATTTGCTTATTGAAATTAAAATACTGCTATCATTATTCAACAAAATTTGAAAAACACAATTAAAACATGAATATTTTAAAACTTTAAAGTTAGGAAACTAATTTCTTTCAAATAGTAAAACAAACACAGCAGCATCTACTTACTCAGATGTTACAGGGTCTATTATCCCCCATAAACTGGCAGGTTTGACCTTAGATCATCAGTGAGGCAGAGAAACTCCACATGGTGAAATATCCAATTCTTTTAACCCTGAAAAGCATTAATAAAATGCCTGTGTGAGAAAGAAAACTGGAGTTACAACCGAGATAGTACTCTAGTGAGTGTATCGTCTAGATAGGGAATATCTTGTTGTTGTTTTTTTTTGCAGTGAGGGCTCAGAACAAGTTCATTCATGGCCCTGGAGCCATGGGTGACCTGAGATAGCAATACTTGGTATTACAACTGTCCTTCTGTTTTAAGAAATCTCTTTGGGGAGAAGTCTAAACCAGCACAATAAAATATGCATCTTGTTCTATATATAACTTGATCACATATTTGTTAGTCTGACCCATCAACCAGGAGAATCCTCTATCTCTAACCATGTAATTTATTGCACAAAGATACTTTTGAAAGGGGAAAGGAGAACTTTTGAAATACGTATTTATTAACGAATGAACTGTTTTTATTAGTTTGTAGTCTAAGAAATAAAAATAATTGTACATCTACTACAGCAAAGAAAAAATAAAAGGTTCCTTTCTTTATATTATATGAACTCTTAAAATGGCATAAGCAGATTAATTATTCTTGACATATATTCATGTACTTTAATATGTTTTCATAATAGATTCTCTAATATTGTGTTGTTGGTACTTTTCTGGGGAAAAAAAGGTTGATATGATTCTTATTATTTTTAAATTTTCAAAAAATTGCCACAATCTTTTTCAAAGTTTCATTTTATGTTAAGTAATCTGAAATCACTGACTTCATCAGACTCTTGTGTATTGATACTACTTTAATCAAGAAAATGCTCTTTTATAGCTGCTGATAAACTTGGTAAGCCCAAAGTAAATTCTGCTAAGTAAAGGATATTTTCAATTCTATTTCCAAGCCCAAATCATAAATCTTTCAGTCTAAATATTCTTACAGATACTATCTTTTTGTCTAAACTGGTGTTCTTTTTTCCTACTCTTGTACCCTCCAAATTACTCACCACAACACACTGCAGCAGAGGTAATTTTTTCTCTAATGCAAACGTCTTCGTGTCACTTCCCACATTAAAACTTTTCAATGGCTGATAATTGCTCCTAAGTATAATCCAAAATCTTAACATGGCCTCCAAAGCTCTGTGAGAGCCGGGCCCTTCCTACCTCTCAGGCTGCAGTGGGCACTTCTCAAGTCCTCAAAAGCACCAGGTTCTCCCATGCTCCAGGCTTCTGCATACTGTTACCTCTGCTTGGAATGCTCTTCCTCGCAGACATGGCCATCTTTGTATCTAAGAGACCTTTCAATGCCCATGCCCCCTAGTCTAAATTACACTATGGTATTCTCTCTCTCTCAAAAGTACTTTGTACTTTGCCTATGAAGCATTCTTCAAAACCTGTTATTTACTTATTTGCGTGTTTTTAGAAACCCTATCTCCACCAGATGGTAAAAACTTCATGAGAGGGTGGAGATCATTCCTTTTCAACTCACCTCTTAACCATCCCTTAATTATCATTCTTTACCTAGGACCTACCTCAGTGCTTGGCACCTAGTGAACCTTCAATAACTATTTGGTGAACAAATGAATAAAGGTCTGAGAAGGAGAGAGTAAGGAGACAAAGGACAATCTAGTTACTTAGTCAACTTCTTATCTATGACCAACACTTCACAATCCTAAATCCAACTATATTATACATTATCAGTTTTCCCCCTCTATATAGGATGATTGTCATCAGCATATATACAGTCTGTACTTTCTCCCAACAAGAAAGAAAGAGAAGAAAAGGAATGGAGTGGGGAGGGAAGGGAAGGAGATGGGAGGGAGGAGAAGGTAGGGAGAAAGGAAGAAAGAATGAGGAAGGGAAGGAGGATGGGGGGAGGGACCTTTCTCTTGACCCCACATCCTCATCAGTCAACTCTCCATTTCTCTAATCCAACTTTACAGGACTAACCAAAAGAGGTGACTGTATCTGTTGTCTCCAATTCTTCCCTCCCATTCTCACTTGAACCCATTCCAGTCAGGCTTTTGTGTCCCCTGCTCCCTGAAACCGCTCTTGGCAAAACCACCAGTGACTTTCATCTTGAACTATCCAACAGCCGGGTACTGAGGCAGGCACTTTAAATAAATTACCTCACTCACTTAACAAACAGTGAGTGCATCACAACCTCCCTTCAAGGCAGGTTCCACTATCCCGAGAGATGTTACCTGAATTCATTCAAGGTTATTTGGGTAAAAAAACAACAGAGGAAATTTTTACCAAATCTAATAGTCAATTTTCATCTTACTGGACTTCATCTTACTAGACCTTGTCAGTAGTATTTGACAGAGCTAATCACTCTCCTCTTTCTTTAAACGTTTTCTTTGCATGCTTTCCAGCATACCATGCTCTCCTGACTCTTCCCTCCTACCACACTGGCCATTCCTTCTTACACTTCTCATCCCAACAACTTGCTACAGTGGCCAGGGCTCTCAGTTCCCAAACTTCTTTTCTATCTACACTCCCTCCCCTTGGTCATCTTAGTGGGTCTCATCACTTTATACCACTGGTAAAAGCCGAAACCTCTTCTTTGAACTCACGGCTCTTACTTTCAGTGGATGATTTGACGTATCCTCTTGGATGTCTAACAGACGTTTGACACTTAACACTGTCCTGTGCCAGACTCCTGATGTTCATCTGTCCCCTAATAGTGATGCACCTACAGAATTTCCCATCTCAGCAAATGATAATTCAATCCTAAATCATCTGACTTTTCTTTCCTTCATACCCATCCAATCCATCAGCAAATCCTGTTAGCTCTGTCTTACAAATGTATATGAATTTTAACTTCTCTCTACTTCTACTACTACTGCTATCTGAGCCTCCCTTATCTCCACTGGATTATTCCAACAGCCTCCCAGTTGATTCTTCCCTTGCCTCACTGTACACTGTTATCAAAACAAAAGGCAAGAGTCACATTGATTTAAAATAAATAAATAAATAAAACCATGCCATTTCTCTGCTCAAAACCCAGCCATTTTTTCCCTTCTCATTCAGAGTAAAAGTCACCATAATGGCCTAAAAGGTCCATAACAGGCCCTGGACAACATCTCTTGCTTCATCTACTATCACTCTCTGCCTTGCTCACCCCCCACCCTTGTCCCACTGCCCTCTTGGCTGCTCCCCAAGGATTTGGGCACACTCATGCCAGGATCTTTGCACTTGCTGCTCTGTCTCTACAGAATGTTTCTTCACAGACATTTGCACAGCACTCTCCCTCATCTACTTCAGACTTTTTCTCAACTGTCAACCCATCAGGTGGCCTTTCCTGGCTGCTCTACTTCATGTCACCTTACCTACTGATACCTATTGATACCTCTATTGCATGTAACTCATTACCACCATTATACGTTCTATTCCACTTATCCTGATTTACCTCTTTTTTATATTCATTTATTCATTCATTCATATCACCCCCAGTGGGTACCTTCCTCTCCCTTTTTCTTCCCTCTATGAAATTTAAGCCTCTTAAGGGAAGAAATTTTTGTTTTGTTCAATATTCTATCTCTTCAGTGACAATAAAATGCCTGGTCCATGATATATTTTTATTGAATAAATAAATGTTTGAAAATAATATCACAGGTAGACAATTTAACTCAATGTCCAGACCCTAGTGTTCTTAAAAGAAAGCTCTTGGAGAGCATGGACTAGGCAGTTACGATCAAATTTTGCACAGCAACTTGCACACACACTCTTAATGTAATTTCATCATTGATGATCATTATCTCCCACTGAAATCTTAGTTTTCCTGTATTATATCAATGTTACTAACTTTCAAGACTTAGGTAGATCATAAAAAATATGACATTTTGGTCTCAATTATCAATACCAAACACCCTCAACTTGTATTCCAACTACCCAACTGCTTCATCATTTGAGGAGGGATATGTTTATTAATGCTTTGCCTGTGAGCACTGCCTTGACAAGAGCTACTCTGGAGCTCTCATTATTATACAATTTGCTGCACTCTCTGTAGGTAGACCTTATGACTATACAGACGCTTAAACTGGTCAATGGGTAGTAGAGTAACTGGTGATCTAGTTGTGGCTGTTTCCGTTTTACAAATTCTTCTTTAAATGTCTCAGATATATTTATTACTTGCTTTAACTCTCCCAAAGGCATTTCTCAGCATAGAGGCAAACATTTTCTAGGTTCTTTTTGTGAGTAAGCCTGTCTTTCAAGAATTCCATAACTCTTACCAGCTGCATCAGCCTACACACATTTCTATCTCTAATCCCTGGACTCTAAGCCTCCACCTGGTTCTTAGTGAATCCCATATAAGAATATTTTTAATATCCTTATGTGCTGAACTAAACTGCACAGATAAGACTGGAGCAAGTTGGATTCTGATACAATTTCTCTACTCTTGAATACTGTTAAACCTTGTCTCATTTCACCAGGAAATTCATTTGCATTTTTCCTAAATTGTCATTAACCTATACTTTAATAATCAACTATACATTTTCAACATGTTATTAGAAAAAACTGATGTTGTTTTTCTTTAGTGTCAAAATCAGAATAGATTCCAACATGCCTAAAAATATCTACATGATAAGAGTATAAAAATGGTAGAACTGGATGTATGGCCATCTTCAAGAAAATAAGAGGATGGAGAAGATTTACTAAGTACGTACTATATGCTAGGCATTTTATCTATAATCCTTATAAAAGCCTTGTATGGTATGTTTACATCACCAGACTTCAAAACCCCCTAAGCTGCCTCCCTAAATTTGAGTACCACATGTGTTGGCTAGGTGTGACTCAGTCTTAAGAAGCAGAAGTTATCGGTCAGTTTTTGCCAAAATGAGCAGCTAATAATTAACACCTATGTTGAAACTATTGTATCTGGTACACATGTAAAAATCTATCTTAAACCTACAGGACAGGCTAAAGTGTTTTTAAAATTTCTCAGGTAAGTAGGCCCATAGGATACAAGCATTCTTAAAAGCAATTGCACTACGATGACTATACTTAAGGTTTTTCATGGGGAAGATGGATAGTTTGTTACATGTGGCTCTCACACATTTCAGGCAAAAGCTGCTTCTTCCA